ATGCTTTGCTCTGATCTTTCCAGAAATACTGTAGTCAAAAGGTGTTTGGATGGGAAGGTGTGGATTTCTAATCCTTCCCACCCGCATTGGTGCTATTTTCCCTCTGCATCCACATGATCCCACTATTTCCCCACCACCAGCAGTAGCGGTGCTATTTTTAAACTGGAAGCTGCTATAACTCTATAGCATTGTAAGACTGTAGTGATATAGCTACTACTGGTTTTTTAAAAACTGGCAAAAGAACTGCAGCAGCAAGCAAGGGGGGTGGTAGACATGACAGGATGCCAAGGAAAACATGGAATCACTGCTGAATGGAAGAAGCCTTTCACCATAATGTTAAGAGACTCTTAAATCATTGACTCAACATTTCATCAAATTTGCATATGTTAAAACCAATCAAAAGCGGTTGCTGAAACATCCCTGAAAGTGGGGGAAAATACTATCAGAATGCTAAAGGATATTCCATTTGAAGTAAGACAACGGAGAAAGAAATACAAAGAACTTGTGCTTTTTCTTCAGACAAACTCAATTGGATATAAATGGCTATTTCAGAAGGCGTCATTTTCAAGATTAAAGATAAAAAGGAAAAGATTGACTCTGTTCAGAAAGCTCAAGAATTTCTAAGGGTTCAGCTGGGAAGGCCAGAGGACGGGAAAAAAGAAGAGGACAGCAAGTCCATTGGCGAGCTAGACTCTGGCTCTTCCGGAAAGGACTCTCTGTCTGAGCAAGGGGCAGCAGCCCCAAAAAGTCCTTGTAAGTTGCGGAAGAGAAGGGGAAAGGAGAAGTAAAGGCTGAAGGACTCTCAATTGTGCCTTTGAGACTTTTTTATGGGATGATTGGGGGTACTGTTTCTAGACAGTTAAATTTAGGCTTTAAAGGAAAAGTGTTATAAATGTTTGACTCAGTTTATAAAGGGATCAATGATGGGAAGACTTGATGTAGCTAAGCTAGTTGGAGGATCTCCTCTCTTGGGCTTTTACTTAGTAGTGGGTTCTTTACTTTATCCCATATTTGTAGTTTCCTCTCCCTTTTCTTCTGCTGTAGTTTTTGTAGTGGTAAAAAATAATTAAAAAATTCCCTCTGGGGGCTCAAAAAAAAAAAGTAAATGATTAAGAGTCTCTTAACATTCTAGTGAAATGCTGCTTCCAATTAGTAATGATTCCATGTTTTCCTTGGCATCCCTTCATGCCTGCCGCCCTTACCCCACGCCTGCTATCCCTCTCCACGTGTATAAAACATGCCACTATTCAGAATGCAACAACAGATATGTATAAAGATGATCAGTCTAAGTTGAACTGCACTAACAACTTTTTCAATTGTCATATACTGGACCAAGCATGCATGTGTGTGTTCACGTACACACACACACACACACACACACACAAAGAACCTCAGATAAGATTTGGATCGCTTTGAATCCATTTTTACTGTAGATGGTTGTTAACAAAAAAACAACAATGGCCCATACCACCCTATTCACACATTTTCTGGACTTTTCTACCTTTGAAATTACCAAGCACTGCATCATGTCTTACTAATATTCCTTCATTCCAGGATGATGATTCCCAAAACAGGTGCTGGGGAATAAATTCACACACGTAAGAACATCAATAACCAAGAGCCGTTGGTCTGTCTGGATAAGGAGAAACGATGATCCCCTGTCAAGCCACAGAAGCAATGACATACTGCAAATGGAACACAGCTGCGTAAAATTTCAGCTATTGGAGGAAACGAAATGGTGCCAGTAAATTCAGATTTGCTCCTTAATGCGGAATCTATGCTGATTTGGCTCAACATAGCAAAACAAACCAATACTCATTTGCCCAACATGCAGGCTCCTGTGAACCACATAAACATCCAATCTCCAGAAGCCCAATGGCCGGGATTTCTTCACTGTCCCCGATGTAAATCAGTGCAAGCCTAATGCATCATGAATTCTGATGCACAAAACACTGTCTGTGGTACACACTGTGGACATTTTGGCTTGTTCACTGCAGGATGTTCTTCTCCAAGCTCAAATCCCTCATCTGGAAAATGGGAGGTGTCACTTCTTAACAGGCTTGCTGTAACTTGCCAGGAAGAATGAGTCTTGGAATAACCTACCTTTCAGAGGTATCTGACCACGTGGATCATCACACACTAAGTATTGATGCCAATACCAAACATCTGCCATCTTTCACTAATTTCTCTAACTAATTACAGAATTATACAACAAGCCTAAGAACACATATTAAATTTAATTCAAATTTAGTTTCTGGCCCTCTGTTCCTAATATTTCTGTCAGTAAATCTATTTGAAATTACATGGCAACATTCCTGCAATGTCCAGTTCAAACGGCATGCTTTCAGATGTTGACTTTGCTGTGGCTGCCAAGCTTGATGTGTCACTTTGGGCAAGGAACCCCCCCCAAATCATTTTATTTATTTATTTTATTTTATTTATTATCTGTTTTATAATATCAGTCTGAGGAATGTTATACACTAAAATGTCCATCAAGAGTAATTATAGAGCTCTAAAAATCTGTGTTTTATGATCATGTGGGTTGTTTCCCTAGTGGGGAGTAACAAACACCAGAAAATTGTTACACAGGCAAGGATTTCAAGATACATGTGCAAGAATTGTATATTTAGTCTATAAATCAGGAACTAAAAACAGTTAAAATGGGGAAAGACAGAAAATCAAAAGCCGCAGAATAGCAAGAGAAAAATTAAGCAATCTCTCAAAAATTACACCAAAGCAAGTTTAGTGCCATGTAGCAAACATTTACAATGCCCAATGATAGAAAGCAATCTAATACATCACTGACACCTCAGTGTTTCACACAATGAGTTGGATTCTGAAATGCTGTTCTGTTTGCATGAAACACTGTGTAAGCGCTATGGCAAGATTCATTGCAGTCCATTTTGGAAGTGCAATATGATTTGATTGGAGAATGTCATTATCAGAAGCTGGGGTGCTGAAATAGTGCATTTGTGTCTTGCACAAGTAGAAATGTAGGATGGGATACAGAAAAGTTGATTTAGTGCAAGGGCTACTTATGATGACTTGTTTCTGCTCGTGCAAGCACTCTTGCACGAGCTGAAATGTCCCATGGGATCCAGCCCATTATTTGAAAGCACACTAGGGACTTGCTTCCATCTGATGCATGCAAGCCATGGTCTACTACACACAGTGAAACTTCTCTTATTACTTTCCTGTTGAGAAACATCTTCCCAGCCAAGCTTTCAAACTTATTTTTAAACTTCTCTAAGCTTAATAAGTGGGGGGGGGCAGATGAGGAATAAATAAATACATCTTTATAAAGGTTCCAGGTGTGTGTACACATAACTTCTTGTATGCACGTTAAGAGCTCCTCTGGATTGCAGCCAACATATCTAGACCAAGTGGCAGGTCTGTACAGCTAAAAAAATCATTTTGACATTCAGGATGTTTCTCCACTCCCACAAAGCATTCTTTGAAATACAGTCAGCCATATGCTCTTTTTGCACAGACTCCTAAAGACTTGGGAATCTATTATCATGCTGTATTTACAATATCCCAGTGGTGAGTGGCTCTACGAATATACAGCCATGATTACAGAACAATAATTTAAGGCTCGGAAACATGCCTGAAATGAAGAACATTTTAAGGTGTTCAATCTCCTTAGTTCATTAAAAAAAAAATTAAAGGTTGGTTGAAAAATACTGTATAATTTACCTTCAAAGGGAGAAAGTAACAAATGTTAAAGGGCTCTGTAATTTAGCAGCAGCAATAATTAAAAAGCGATGGCTGTGGCCTCTGCCTTTCTCTGTCTCCTTCCTGGAGGAGAAAGTCTCAGACCGTTTAGACAGGGAAGAAGGTCCAGCCTGTTCTGACTTCCTTTTTCTCTCTCTTTGGCTTACAGACAGGGAGGAAGGACCCAGGAGCAGCCCTCTTAGTCTTTCATAGCAGAGAAGAAAGGCTGGCTAACGGAGACTGGGAGGCTTGGTCATTCCCTGGCTTCCACACCCATGAGAGAAGCAGGGGTGAGAGGCAGAGGAAGCTGAGTGCCCAAGAAGAGGGCAAGGTTTATCCACTACCAGATATAGAACTGTCTGCAAAGTATGCCTCACGACCCAGTGATCTATCTGACTAGCACATTTGTATCCCATCCGTTCTCCAGTAAGCTCCGCGTGGCATACATGGCTTCCACTTTCTCATTTTAGCCTCACAACAACCCTGTAAGTTAAGTGACTCTGGCTCAAGGTCATCCAGTGAGCTTCCACAGCAGAGTGGGAATCTGAAGTCAAGTCTCCTAGATCCTAGTTCAACACGTTTAACTATTACTCCACATTGGCTAACTCAAAGCCAGAGGGTATATTGGTCAGTCAAAGACAGACTGAGCTTTGTGTATTCTACCACCGACGTGCTTTTTAATTCCTGATGTCAAACACACATCCACTCTAATCTTATAACAAAAGCCACACCTGACATTGAAAAATAACCAAATGCAAAGCCAGCCCTCTTTCCCCCTTCGTCCTCCTTCTGGAAAGATCATCCAGGCACACACAACTAGTATGTTATTTTACTTTTTTCCTTCTATACTCAATGCTACTAAAAGGCCAATAATTCCATTCTCTAACACACTGGCTGATTCAAAACATCTCGTTCCCCCACCCCCCAACTTGTACTTTCAGGCCAATTTAGTCAGAGAGCAACTAAGTCCAACGGCTTAATGTGCTCAAAGAAGGAAGTTGTGAACAAATGTCATAAGTACAAAAGTGACGTCTGCCAATACTTGGCTGTAATTGTACGAGTGAGACAAATTAGATTTCCCTCGAAATGTGTCAGCCATGCTTACTAATGGCCTTCCATTTTGATGTTGCGGTTCCTTTGTAACAGTTAACAACTTCAACAAATGTCAAGGTCAAATCTGGCTGAAGAAAGTTTAATAACTGCACTTCCTTGAAGAAACAGCTGCTTCCAACTGTACCTGGCCCAGGACAAACAGCTACCATTTCAATGGAACTGGAGAAGCTTACCTCAAAGAATTAAACACTTCAGACTTTGAGGCGCGTGGTGAGGAAGTAACTCTAGCAGCAGATGTTGGTACTTCAACAGCATCACTTTCTTCATCTTGATTCTTGTTTGTGCCTGAAATAAGACCTGACAGACACCTGATACTTATATTTCTCTGTCATTACAAACAGCAACAAAATAAAGCTACCAGCAACTAGAAAGATGGAAACATTGCAGTGACATTTGTTTTAGTTACTGTCTGGCTAGATTTAAACAGAATCTAAATATGCAGGAAAGAATCTGAGAAAATTATTTTGAATCACAGTTGCTATACTTATTTCAAAAAATTTTCCAGCACAAGTAAACAAACAAACAAAGCAGATGTGGGACCAATGAGTGTCTGTCTACGTCCCTCTTGCTTCATTGCAGGAGGGGCCTGCAAGGCCTCAGACTGAACTGGGGAAGGAATAGCTGGCATCTCATTCCTCCTCCTATTCCCAGCTTCGCTGCCAGTGGAGAGGGACCAGCATACTCTTCCTCAGCCTGTTCCCTGGCTCCTTTTAAAGGCAGTATAGCAAGCTACACATACCTCCCAGGACAGTTAGCCCTAACCTCTCGCAAGAGCTCCTCCTCCCTCAAGAGGGCAGGTTCTGCACTGACTGTTCTCATAGCCAGGTCCTGCATCCACGTTCCTTCCAGCTATGCCCAGACACCACTGGTCATCTGCTGCAGCGGCACTGTTCTCTTAAAGGGGCATGGCTTCCAAACCTGCATGAATCACAGAATCACAGAGTTGGAAGGGGCCATACAGGCCATCTAGTCCAACCCCCTGCCCAATGCAGGATCAGCCTAGAGCATCCCTGACAAGTGTTTGTCCAGACAGTGCTTAAAGACTGCCTTTGAGGGAGAGCTCACCACCTCCCTAGGCAGCTGATTCCACTGTTGCACAACTCTTACTGTAAAAAGGTTTTCCTAAAATCCAGCTGGTACCTTCCCACCCTTAATTTAAATGCACTAGTGCGAGTCCTATCCTCTACTGAAAACAGGAACAGCTCCCTGCCCTCCTCTAAGTGACAGCCCTTCAAATATTTCAAGAGAGCAATCATGTCCCCCCTCAACCTCCTCTACTCCAGACTGAACATTCCCAAGTCCCTCAGCCTTTCCTCATAGGACTTGGTCTCCAGGCCCCCAATCATCCTCTTCGCTCTCCTTTGCACCTGCTCCATTCTGTCCACATCCTTTTTGAAGAGAGGCCTCCAGAACTGCACACAATACTCCAGGTGAGGCCTGACTAATGCAGTGTACAGCGGGACTATCACATCTTGTGATCTGGACGAATGCCTGAGCAGTTCAGGGATTCCCCCAAACAGCAGAAAACTAATCTCCACTGAGTCTGTGCCAAAAAAGGAGGACTTAGCTGTAAGGAAATGTCCTTAGGAACAGCCTTTCATTTTCAGAAGCTGGGAAATGAAAGTTCTGAGAGAAGCCTCGGTTGAAGTATTGCAGCCTATGAATGAAATGGTTGCCAACAGCAGTGATGGAAAGATATAAGCCCTTAGATTTCTACAGCCTGAATGAGTTTATACACATTGTTCACCTAGGTGTGGAATCAATAATAATAATAATGTCAAGAAATGGGAAGACTGAAGATGCAGACAGAGAAAAGGACAGTTTTTACTCTTTGGAAACATTGCTGTAGGCATAATGTGACCTTTTAGCACATACCATATCTCGCCAAGAGATTTCATTTTCTTTCTTTCTCTATGCCGAAAGGTTTCACTAGTAACCAACAAACATCAGACTGAGTCCAGACTAGCATGAGCAGTAGTCTCTGCCGTCTCTGCCATCACCCCCTTCTTTCTGCATTCCCCTGTTCCCCCTGTGAGCAGAGACAACTGTTCTCTTGAGAGTCGGGAAGGGGTAATCAGCAGAAAACGCACATGCATAGCACAACACACACCTCAGTCTTGTGTGAACTCCTGCACAGGGCAGGAAATCATGCAAAAACAGGTGTGTGTGTGATTTCACCTTTCCCCTGCAGCCTCCCCCCATATACGGACCTTTATACATTCCTCTTAGGGATGCCAGGTCCTCCCTGGCCACCCACAGGGGATGGGGGGATAGGGTTGCCAGAATCCAGGTTGGGAAACTCCTGGGGATTTGGGCATGGAGCCTGGGAGAACAGAGACTTCAGTGGGGTACAGTGCCATAGAGTCCACCCTCCAAAGCATCCATTTTCTTGACGGGAACTGATCTCTGTCATCTGGTGATGAACTGTAATTCTGGGGCATCCGCAAGTCCCACCTAGAAGCTGGCATCCCTAATTGCTCTGATTAAGGAAAATTCATCTGCTATATTTCCATTAACAGACGGCATAACCTTTGGATCGATGCAGATGAATTCAATAACTTTTATAAAATCAATACCTTTTCTATGTATAACCACTCAGCTCTACCAAATGCCTTGTCTTCACTGATAATGTTTAATACTATAGATGTTCCATTTATACTGCTCTTATATATCATATTTATTGCTTATTGGATATTGTTTGCCATTTTCTCCCCTTACATAAACTGTTTGCTATCTATTCAAGTATTTAGATAACAGCCCTTTCAGTCTACCTGTCAAAGTACTTGTCAGAACTGTACAGTCATAATTTAGTAATACAAGAGACCTCTAAGATTCAACTTACCCTCTTTATGAATGACTATAATGAGGGGGAGGAACTGAGCAAAATCATACCCTCTTGTGCCAGTAGAGTCTCTCACACAAATGTCCAGGTCTGCTACAAGATGGACATAATTTTGCCAGATTGCCTTTCATCCTTATACCCCTCTATACACTATGTAACAAGGATTACCTGACTATCAACATCAGCATTTTGAGAGTCACAAATGAAATCCGGAAGGAATAGAACGCGTAAATGAGCGCCTTTGTGCTCTTACCTGGGGTAGCACTGACTGCTGATTTTTCTTTCACGCTGGATGCTATTGCCGTTTTAACTTTTGTGTAACTAGGTTTAGGCTGAGTGCATTGTAGGTGTTCTCTTTGAAACAAAACCATATGTTTTACCCAACCTTGAAAGAAAAAGATAACAAGAAAATACATTTAAGGCTCACGGCACTGTCTTACATGTAATTGTATTTTCCTAGGTAAAGGTAAAGGTTCCCTTGCTCGAAAGCCACTCGAATCCGACTCTAGGGTTGCGGTGCTCATCTCTGTTTCAAAGCCGAAGAGGCAGCGCTGTCCGAAGACATTTCTGTGGTCATGTGGCTGGCATGACTAAACACCAAGGCGCACGGAATGCTGTTACCTTCCCACTGAAGTGGTACCTATTTATCTACTTGCAATTTCTTGCTTTTGAACTGCTAGGTTGGCAGGAGCTGGAACTAGAGACGGGAGCTCACTCTGTCATGCGGCACACTTGGGTCTCGAACTGCTGAACTACTGACCTTCCACAGCCGGCAGTTCAGCGTCCTACCACCAAATAATTTCCAGAATAATATCTTAGATGGCTTATAGGGAAGCTAAGTTTTTGGTCTACATTATGCTCTTCCCTTCCCCCACATACAGCTCTCTGAGCTCACAATGAAACACACGTGCAGTCAATCCAGTGATTTTTTTCCCCACTGTGAATTTCAATTGGACTGAGCCTGCTTTGGCGGGGAGGGCGGAGTATAAATCAAATAAATAAATAAAATATGGACTGGGGATGAAACCAGTTTTGGAGCAGCAGTTTTCAGCAAGAAACCAGGGCAAGGGAAAATATTTAAGAAGACCCTTTCCCTCTATGGCAGCCACAGCAGCTATATATTATGGGGAAAGAATCACGGAACTACTTGCAACATGTCATTCCACTCTCAGAGTACATTCAAAACCAACTTACTGGCAGCCCAATTCTTAACAGAGTTACACATTTCTTTGTCCACTCCACTGTAATGTTGACGATCTAAAAGGCTGGTCTGATTACAACTTGTGACAACATGATAATTACGCCAAGAGCTGGGAAGCAGTAAAAGCATCGGGACGAGAAAGACTTCATTAGAAGGCTCAGTGCAATGTGTCATCTTGTATTCAAAAGGGCAGTACAAATCCAACAGGTTTAAAAAGCAGGACAGGATACATTTACGGCATACTGTGCATTTGGAAGAATTTCTCAACATCATAAAATGCTGCCTGTGGAGACTGTGGAATCTCCTTCCCTTGACATTTCAGAAGAATCTCTGACACATTCTGATGGGAATACTTTAGCTCTGACTGGCATAGATGAAGCTTCCAAGCATACTACTATCTAAGCATTTAACAAATAGCATCACATGCCCTCTCAGTTATTCTTCAGTTAGTAAAAAAAATCATTGGAAAATGGAAGTTAAATTAGCAATTTTAGCAAGATGATGAATTATTAAAGCACTACATGGGGGGGGGAATGCAAGCCTTTAATCTTCATAGAGAGTTTATACAGCATTTGATTACTTTATTCTTAAATATCAACTTACAATCACCATCGGGTTGATCCAAATGTGATGCTGCTAATCCCTTTGGTTTACAAAACCTGGCTCTTGCGCACATCTTTTCCTTGTTATCCCATAATCTTAACTTTATTTTGTGATCTCTCAGCTTCACTAGAAGGTCATTGGTAACATTAATTTCAATACTATGATTCCATGAAATCCATATCTGGTCATTTTCAAGCCACGGTCTCACAACCTATTTTGAAATGGAGTATTTTCTAAAATTAGAAGTACTGAAATAGTGCACTCTTGCAGCAAGGGTTGCCACTGTGGTGGTTTGTCAAACAACCCAAAGAGTTATGGTCAATTTATAAGTATATTTTGTTTAGGTTTTTGAACAAGACATTGAACAGTCACAAAAAACAACAACAGGACAATTAATGCAAGGGACATGGCTTACAAGACCACTGAACAGACGGACCAGAGTTCAGAAATCAAAAAACGTTTTCCTCTGATCTCTCTCACTGAAAAAACACACTAAGGGAAAAATTCTTAATGGCCGCCTTACTTTCGAGCTACCAACATATGACCTGCTACTATGTGACAAGCATTAACCTCTGAATTAGACAAGCACATAACACAGGCAAACAATCTATGAGCACAGATTAGCAGGATTCTAGACTGCTCATTTTGGTTTTACAAGACATAGAACTCATCATATAACTCAGGGTTCGCCAATCATACTATTATAATCATCATCATCCCATCCAGGCTTACACTGAGCTCTGGGCAATGTACAGAACATAGTGTCATAAAATACAAAACACAAAATATTAAAATTTATATATAACATTAATAAAAAATCAGTATAGATTAAAAGATCCAGATGGCAATTTTCCTATATTATTTTGCATCCCGATTCCGGACTACCAGTCCCCTTTTTTCTGGGTGGGGGGAAGGGAACTCAGAACACGGAGGGAAGAAGAAAGAAGGAAGGGTGCCAGCCAATGAGGTAACCATTGCTGCCCTTAACCAAGAGCCTGGCAGAACATCTCTGCCTTACAGGCCCTGTGAAACTGCATAAGATCCCACAGGGCCTTGAATTTGAGTGTGTGGGCACCTTTGGAATTCTGACACAAGGTGGTGGGCACAACCACAAAATGTCTACTGCAGGAGGTAGAACTATTCACGAAATGGCCACTACAGTAGGCAGGGCCACACATCCAAAGGAGACCGAAGCACAAGGGAGAAGTGGGTTATTAAAAAAAATGCGCTAGGAAATAGGAGTCAGAGAGAATAAAACTCTGGTAGCAGCTGCCGCTTTTACAATATTATTTTAATGTGCACACCCACTCAGATCTCCAGTGGCCAGTTAGATACCCGGGCAGGAAAAAATCCTCATCTGGCCCCACCCACTTTCTAAAAACACTTGATGTGCACCATGGTGCCCACAAGCACCCTTCAAGGTACCCATGATGAAACTCATAACTACAGTTCTTTTAAGATCTTATATTCACTCACTGAGGCATGAAGTATGCTTTGTTTTTTCGTTCTGGGCCGCTCACTCTCCTTTGGAGTCCCTGGCTGATGACAAGTAGAGGAAAAGAAGCAAGGGCAAAAGAAAAGAGAGAAAAACAAGATGACAAAGAAAACAGAAAAATGAAAAAAAGATAAAATAGCCCACAGCATTTAATCCCAACTATTAGTTCAGGAAGTTTCTATTAATGCATCATTATTTTGGTACAAAATAATGTTATACTTTGTGTAAAACTTTAATCCACAAGTTTCATGCAGCTCTTAAGACGTCAGGCAAGACAAGGAGCAAGACCAAAATGTTTAAGACACCATTCTAGCTAGTGATATTTCTCCCTTCCCAATAACCATCACCGCAGCCTTAAACAAAATGTTTTCATTCACTATACCCCATCCCTTCATTGCTTTCCCCCTTCTCTTGCACCAACAGCCCTCCCCTCAACCACATCGAGGCCATTGCCCACAATCCTGCTTCCCTCCCTCGGTTATGTCCTCCTTTTATCTCCCTACTTGGGCCTTTTCCAAATATTCTTGATTCCAACAGAACTAAGAAGAGAGGAGGAATTCAGTACCAAGCTCTTTGCACACATGTATATACCCACACAAAAAACAGCATCTTCTTTTGTCTATTTACTTTCTTAAAGTCCCCACAATCCACATATGGTTCGAGAACAACAGCAGCGAGAAAAAAATCCAAACGAGCATGGTAAGAAAAACTGATTTCCCAAATAAAAAGAAAAGCTGTTTTTTTAAAAAAAAAAATATCAAGATAATTATAATTAAATAACTTAGGGCATAAGGTGTCCCAGTCAGTTTCAGCGGACAACCAGCTAGCCTACCAGCTGATTTAGAATAATCTTGTAACAAATTGTTTACTCTAGGCTAGATCGACCATTGGACACTCACCACGAAGGGTCCTTCTCCTCTGGGGTCTGGAGGACATCTTGTGGGTGATTCCCATCCATCACTTTGGGCGGCAGGAGCAAATCTGTTTACTTCCTGTTTCCTGAGGTGGGAGTCACCCTGAGCTCAGTTTTGGTACTCCAAAAAGCCAAATTCTGAAATCTAATAAATCTAAGACGAAAACTAAGGTAGTAAAAGTAAGAACACAAACCTCAACAACGGGAACAGGAAGTGCAAAAGAACTTCTTTTTTTTGAGAAAAGAAATGTAAAAACAGTTGAAAGAAGGAAAGCGATGTTGATCCAGGAGGGCTAAGATGTCCTCTAGACCTCAGAGGAGAAGGACCCTTCATGGTGAGTGTCCAATGGTCGTTCTCACTCTGAGTTGGAGGACCTCTTGTGGGACCTCCCAGAGCAGTGTCCCTAAAGTTTGATTGGAGGTTGACATCCAGATCCAATATAGACTGAAGAACTCTCCTTCCGAAGGCCGCATCATACACAATGTGTATGATTCCGATCTTACAGTGTTTAATGAATGTGAACAAGGAGGACCATGTGGCAGCCTTGCAAACTTCCTCCACCAATACCCGTCTTGCAAAAGCTGCATTTGTGGCCATGCTGTGAAGTAAATGGGCCATAATCCCAGCTAGAACTTGTTGCTTCTGACTCTGGTGTGCCTCGGCATTGCAGGACCTAATGTTGCTGACTGACGAGTTAGACATCTTCTTTCCCATAAGTGGAGCTGAGATGTTCACAAACAGAGCATCTATCTTTCTCATGGTGGCTGTCCTATGTATGTAGCATTTGAGTGTCTATTTGACATCCAGATTATGCCAGACTTTTTCTCTTGGGTGAACCGGGTTCAGAAAGGACAGTAGATAAATCTCCTGGGATCTGTGAAATTTGGTATTGACTTTTGGACAGAAAGTTGGATCGGTTCTCAAAACTACCTTTTCCTTGTGAAAAATGCAGAGTTCCAACTTAAACAAGAGTGTGCCCAACTCCGATATCCTTCTGGCTGACGTAATGGCAGTCAGAAATACTGCCTTCATCCTTAAGAGTTTGAGTGGAATATCCCAGATAGGCTCGAAACAGAAAGTTGGATCGGTTCTCAAAACTACATTGTCCTTGTGAAAAATGCAGAGTTCCGACTTAAACAAGTGAGAAATACTGCCTTCATCCTTAAGAGCTTGAGTGGAATATCCCAGATAGGCTCGAACAATTCCTTAGTAAGCACTGTGAGAACAATATTAAGTCTCCAAGTCGGAAACCTGTGGTTCTGGGGTAGATCTCAGAGAGAAGCTGCTCTGAGAAACTGCTGGACATGTGGATAAACCTTGGGAGAACTGAAGCGAGCACCACTATTGTCTCCTGAGAGTCGTTGCCTTGAGGCCACTGCTGATACAGTCCTGTAGAAATTCCAGACCCAGTTTTATCTCCGGCTTTAAGGGATTAACTCTCTTCCTCCTACACCACTGAACAAAGGCCCTCCAGGTGGTGTTGTAAATCCTTGAAGTTGATGGTTTCCTGGAAGCCATGATAGCATCTATTACGGTGGTCTGGTACCCTAGTTGAGATAGTTTGTTCCTTTCAGTTTCCACGTGGTTAAACAGAACCACCCAGTCACGGGTGCCAAATTGGGCCTGCTACAGCATGTCTCAGAGTATTGAAAGGGTCAGAGGAGTGGCTATTGACATCTCCTGTAGTGCAGAGAACTAGGGTTGGCGAGGCCAATAAGGGGCCACCAGTATGATCTCTGCTCGGAACTTCGGTATTCGCTTGAGGAGTTTTGGTAGTACCAGAATAGGAGGGAACATATAGAGTAGCCCCCTGGGCCATGCTGTTATGAGGGCATCTGGGGCTACTGTCTGAGGGTGGAAGAACCTGGAGTTAAATCTGTCCAGTTGGTTGTTGTGTGCAGAGGCAAAAAGGTCTACCAGAGGGGTTCCAAATGTGGACAGTATCAGTTGGAAAATCTCCTTGTGGATATCCATCTTCCTGAATGGACTGCCGGCTTAGCCAATCCACTTGGATGTTGGTACTACCTTTCACATGTTCCGCTCTGATCGAAGCCAGGTTCTTCTCTGCCCAGGTCAGTAGATGGGTTGCTTCCCTGTGCAAGACAGAGCACTTGGAG